ACCGCTGCCATGCTCGAGGAGACGAAGGGGGGCTGAGATCCTGCACAAGCTCGACCAGCGCCTCGGCGACCACAGCCTGCTCGCCTCGGGCATGCCCCTCATCCGCTGCCCCTTTTGCGACTACGCCGAGGTCGACGACATCTACCTGCCCCAGCACGAGGACAGCCTGCGGCCCCGGGCCGACGGCGTCCTCAGCGCCGTCTTCCTGCTCCTCTGCGTCGGCTCCATCCCCTTCCTCATGCCGCTCGTGCTCCTGTCGTCGCTGCTCTGCCTCGCCATGACCACGTCGCGCGCCTCGCTGGCGACTCACTGGTCGCGCGCCCTGCACCGCCGCCGCCGCCGCCGCCGCGGGCCCAAGTTCACGTGCCGCGCCCCGCGCTGCGGCCGCACCTCGTGCCTCGCCTGCGCCAAGCCCTGGGCCGACGTGCACGTCTGCAACGAGTCGTCCCTCGTCGCGCTGCGCACGCAGGTCGAGCAGGCCATGAGCCTCGCCATCAAGCGCGTGTGCCCGCGCTGCGCCACGTCCTTTGTCAAGAACTCGGGCTGCAACAAGCTCACGTGCCCCTGCGGCTACAAAATGTGCTACGTCTGCCGCAAGGACATTGGCGGGCCCGACGGCGCCGGCGAGGGCTACCGCCACTTCTGCGACCACTTCCGCCCCGACGGCGACCCCCGCCCCTGCGACGAGTGCGACCGCTGCAACCTCTGGGAGAGCGAGGACACGGACGAGGTCCTGCGCCGCGCCCGCGACGAGGCCGAGCGCCGCTGGAAGGAGACCGAGGCCCGCGACCTCAGCGGCGCCGAGCGCGTCTTCCTCGACACGGGCTTCGCCCCCGCCGCCCCCGCCCGCGACGACCTCTCCGTCGAGCACGTCCTGCGTGCCGGCCGCCTGCCGTCTGTGGCCCAGATTTGCGACCTCATCGTCGAGAATCTGTTTGTGTGACGGCGCCTTTTTGCTGGGCTGGGCCTGTTGTGAGCATGGGAGCGAGTCTATAGGATGGGATAGAAGGCATTTTGCGGACATGAACAGCAGTCAGGACGAACACGGACGGACACGGCGTCAGGGCGGACACGGCGTCAGGGCGGACACGGCGCCAGGACGGACATGAAAACAATTCGAGCCGACATGAGCGGTAGAGCAGAGGACATTGCACACGGCCAAGCAGCACAGAAATGAGCTTCTCTTGATTACCAGAATAAAGTGCATAAATCGCATCATTGACATGAGTAAACATCTTGGTATCCTGCACCCACACAAACGTCCCCACCCTCATCCCGCCGCCAGTCATCTACGCCTTGTGCCGCCACCCATCTACGCCTTGCCGACGAGCTCGGCACCGCCGCCCGCAATGGCGAGCTTGCCCGTCTCCTTGACCTTGGTCTGGAACAGCACCTTGCCGCCCTCCTGCCACATCTCGGTGACGAGCGTCTCGCCCGGCAGGACGGTGCCGGCGAAGCGGACCTTGATGTTCCTAAAGGCGCCAAAGCGCTCGTAGACGGCCTTGCCGGCGAAGCCAAAGGTGCAGAGGCCGTGCAGGATGGGCTTCTTGAAGCCGCCCATGCGCGCGAACGACGGGTCGACGTGGAGCGGGTTGTAGTCGCCGCTGAGGCGGTAGAGGGCCGCCTGCTCCTCCGTCGTCTTCTCCTCGACGACAACGTCGGGGCTGCGCGCGGGGGGCTTGTTGGCGGCCGTGCTGGGGCCGCGGTCGGCAGGGCGCGCCTGGCCGCCGAAGCCGCCGCAGCCGCGGAGGAAGACGGTCATCTCGTTGTAAAAGACCTCCTCGCCCGTCTCGGCGATGACGGTCGAGATGCCGTTGCGCGCAATGGCCGCGTTGCCCTTGTCGACGACCTCGAGGAGCCGCGCGCGGGAGACGAGGTGCGCCGCCGTCGGGATCGGGTACTTCTTCACCTCGAGGTACTGCTCGCCGTGGAGCAGCATCATCGGCGAGAAGTTGGGCACAATGTCGTCATAGTTGAACGACGTTTCGGCGCCGAAGGGCGGGATGACGCCAAACGTCGGGACGGGGCGGAAGTCCTCGGCGCCCTCAAAGACGTAGTCGAGGTTGTCGCGCTTGGCGCCAATGCCGAGGTTGTAGAGAGCAACATCGCGCTCCGTGTAGGTAAAGTCGGAAGGGATCGTGTCGGCCTTGAGCGCGCTGGCAATGGCCTCGCGGTACTGCGCGCCCTCGTCGGAGGAGGACGGGGCCTGGGGTTCACTGGAGGACTATTGACGGAGGACATGGGCGTTAACGATTTTGGGGTTCATTTGGCTACGTGGCTATGGTACAATATGTGTTGCGCAGATGAGGAAAAAAGGACATGGCATCACCATCAGATGACAGAGAAGCTTCTCATACCTTCTTGCTCTTGTTCGCCATGTTGTCCATGACCTTCTGGACGGCATCCTGCGCCTTGGACGGGTGGTCCGCACGGCCGTCGTCAAAGTTCCTGATGACGTCCCACTTTTGCAGGAGAGCCTCGGGCGTCAGGGGCACGTCGACGGGGAATCCGTGGCCGCCGGATCGCTGCCACCTCGTCTGACCGACCCAGCCGCTGCCGACCTCGTACAGGCCGCCGGTAGGGTTCTTGGGCACCTTGTCGCTGCAGAGCGCGAGCACGACGGGCGCAATGTAGTCGGGCTTGAAAGCCTGCACCATCTCCTCGGGCATGATTGTCCTCGTCATGGCCGTGCCGGCGTTGGGCGCAATCGTGTTGACGTAGATGTTGTACTTGGCACCCTCGAGGGCCAGGGCGCGAGAGAAGCCGAGGATGCCGCATTTCTGTGCACACGTCAGTTTCTGGGAGAAGATGAAGAAGACTAAGGCAGATAACGTACCGCCGCGGCGTAGTTGGCCTGTCCAAAATTGCCGTAGATGCCACTCGTCGAGGTCGTGTTGATGACACGGCCATACTTCTGCTTGAGGAAGTAGGGCCAAGCGGCCTTGGTGACCTTGTAGGTACCGCGAAGGTGGACGTTCAGGACGGGGTCCCACAGACTGTCGTCCATGTTGTTGAAAGCCTTGTCGCGCAGGATGCCGGCATTGTTGATAACGATGTCGATACGGCCAAAGGCGTCAATGGCCGCCTTGACGACCACATCGCCGTCCTCGGCAGAGGCCTTGACGCCGACAGCCTTGCCGCCGGCCGCCTTGATCTCGTTGACGACGTCATCGGGGTTGGCAAGGTCGTTGATGACAAGCGAGGCACCGTACTTGGCGAAAGCCAGAGCGTAGGCGCGGCCGATACTGGAAAAGCATTAGCAGCTGAATCATGGGACCACGAGCGAAGAGGAAGACTCACCCAGCACCGCCACCAGTGACAAGAGCGACACGGCCCGTGAAGTCGGGGTTCTCACCCTGGGCGCTGGGGCCCTTCTTCATGGAGTCCTCGAGCAGGGTCAAGAAGTCGGCAGGTCCCGAAGGGTACTGGGGGTTGGAGAAGTCGCCAACCTGGTCCCAGGCCTTGAGGACGGCGCCGGGGGTGTAGCTGTCGTCGGCCTTGAGAAGGAGACCGCTGGACCGCTCCCAGCGGAACTTGGCGACGTGGCCGGCACCGACCTCCCAGATGGTGCCGTTCTCCGTGTTGCTCTTGTGGACGAGGACAGCGACAAGGGGGACGACCCAGTCGGGCTTGAGGTTCTCGAGAACATCAGGGGGCATGACAGTCTCGGTCATGCGGCTCGCAGCTGGCATGGGGCGTCAGTCAACGGGGTCCCGTCACACCTGGAATGGCAGGGAAAACTCACCAATGGGCGCAATGACGTTGGAGAGGATGTTGTACTTGGCGCCCTCCTTGGCGAGGGTCTCGGTGAAGCCAACCATGGCGAGCTTGGCAGCTGGACGGTTTGTTAGTGCCGTGCAGCTCAGGGCTCTTTCAAAGGAGCATACCAGAGTAGTTGGCCTGGCCGAAGCTGCCGAACAGACCGGCGGCAGAGGCCGTGTTGATGACGCGGCCGTACTTTTGTTTCCTGAAGTGAGGCCAGGCGGCGCGAGCGCACTTGTAGGCGCCACGGACGTGGACCTTCATGATGAGGTCCCAGTCCTGGTCGGTCATGTTCTTGAAGCTGATGTCACGGAGAATACCGGCATTGTTGATGAGAATGTCAATGCGACCAAAGGCCTGGATGGCCGTCTCGATGATCTTGTCGCCATCCTCGACAGAGTTGTAGTTGGCCACGGCCTTGCCGCCAGCGGCCTTGATCTCGTTGACTACGACATCGGCGGCCTAATGGGAGACGCAATGTCAGCGACGGCTTTTCCAAGGAGAATTGCGCACTTCTGGGGTTGGGGGGGTTCGAGAATGCTTACCTTGCTGGAGGTGCCCTCGCCCTTGAAGGAGCCGCCGAGGTCGTTGACGACGACAGAGGCTCCGCGCGAGGCGAAGAAGAGGGCGTATACCTTGCCGAGGCCGCCACCAGCGCCGGTGACGACGACGACCTGGTCGTCAAATCGCAGCTGATCGGCCATGATGATGATTGTCTCGGTCGGGTTGGCGACGAGACTGTGTGGTGTGGGGAGGAGAGGGGGAGGGGGAATGGAAGTGGTAGGATAGAGAGGAAAGGATGGACAACAAGACCCTCAAGGGATGATATGGGATGGGGGGGGTATCAAAGGGCAAGATGGCTCAATAGATATGAAGATGGGAGAGGTTGATGTTGGAGGGGAGGAGAGAAAGATGAAGAGTCAAGAGCCTCGGGATGGAGTCGGGAAGCAGCAACGGTAGATTGTGCCCGAAGCCGTAACCGTCTCGTCCGTCGCTCAGTCACTGTAACGATGGGGGGGATCTCCCTGGGGCTGAGGCTGTGGGGAGCCGAGGCACAGGCATCCATTCTAGTGCCGCACGCCTGAGCCGAGGGGTCACGCTAGGCCGCATCCAGAGAGCTCTTCAAGGCCCTAGACCTTCACATGCTTGAGCTGACATGACGTCGCAAACTGGGGGCAAGTCATGCGCCCCAGACTTGTCACATGTGTCTGGGCTAAGTAGTTTTTGAGTGTGAAGGAGGGGCAAGTGCATCTTGCGGCCTGTCGCCTTCTTCATGAAAAAGCCAGTTGTAGGTGAAATGGGTCAAGTTGCTGGCGGCTGACAGAATCAGTTCCAATTGGGATTCGCGAATCCGGGAGAGCGCGAGAGACGTCAAAGCCAACGGGGTCGGGTCGTGTTTAAAAGGCCACATAAATGGGTCATGATTTGCCACCGAGATGGATAACACCTCAATGTTGGGCAGGTAGAATAAAGACAAGATGTCACGATCTGCCTCTTCCGCCTCGAAAACACAGCACTCGTTCAGCCACGGCGTAATTGACACGTGTATCAGTGACTGAAAGCTGTGGTTCTTTTGCAAGGGACCGATACTGGAGTCGCACTCAGCTGATTCACGAAGAAGTAATCGAAACATGCGCGCAAGAAGTCGTGTCTCTGCAGACCAGTTCTCTGACAGCTCGAGACTCTTAAGACCAGTTGTCATCGAGACGAGGACTGCCACGACAGCATCAGCTGAGCCGGACTGAACTCTGGAGATCCAGTGATTGATATCAGCTGGCAACAGACCAATAAGCTTCACAGCTTCGAACAATCTGCGAGCAAGTGCCGGAGGGTTCGAAAGGGGAACTACAACGGAATGGATCCCTTCCTCAAGAAGCCCATCGTTCCCAGCAAAAGTCAGGCTGCGCACGAGGCTAGCAAGCTCAGGTCGTTCGAGAAAGGTGCGTGGCAGAAGTATGACAGGGGGCCGAATTTCAAGCGTCCATGTAAATTGGATTGAAGAGTACAAGTGCGGCTCGATGACATGGTGTATGGTTTGACTCGTGGCGGAGAGTAATGCCAGGCCAGACGAGTCCAGGTGCTGGAAAATGTTGAGGAGAATCTCTGCAGGGCAATCTTGAAGAGACATGTCGAGAAATCAATCAGTGGTGGTGAATGATGTAGTGACATGCGACAATAAATCGCCTTCACAAGACGCGAACAGAAGACGCGAGCAGAAGACGCGACCAGGAGACGCGAGCAAGGAGGGGACCTTGCATCCCAAGAGGCATATTCCGGGGATTGTTCCGGGGTACCTGGGCAGCTAGAGGCTCTACAGCAAGGCTGCAGCTCTAGCGCATTGGCGCGGGCAGCGGCCTTTTCTTTTCCCACTGCCGCCAAGTCATGCCATGACACCCCGCACGCCGGCGCAGCCTTCTTCCCGTTGCGATGCCGGCGTCGGCCTCGCTGCACGGCGGCCGGCAAGCGACAAAATGCCGCCGTAATCCACACCCCGAAAGCTGGGACGTGGCTACAACCAAGAGCATCTACTGCATGTTCAAGAACCCTCAAAGTCCTCTCGTGCATACCCACCTGTAGACGACTGTTCTGCCAGACGGTACGAATCACCTCCCCCCCCCCACCATGGCGGCCATTCTCGACGACAAGTCCCCAATCTGCATCCCCTTCATCCTCCAGCACCTTGCCGAACACCTCGTCTCCAAGGTCCCTGACAAGGGGCGCCCCTTCCTCAACGGCCCCAAAGGAGCTCAGAGTCGGTCACGGAAGACATCTTGGTCTTGCATCTCGTGTAAGAATCCGCATAGATATCTATAAGTGTATGA